TTGTATAATGCACAGTGTATTACAATATACTCAGAATTCTCATTTGCATTGCAGAATGAGCATTCTATTGAATCAAATCTTTCATCAAATCTTTGCATATAAGATTTGAAATAGCCATGTTCTAGTTTCAGCTGTATTATAGATGAGAATATTTTCTTTTTACATTTAATTGAACAAGATTTTCACTTGAGTTTTGTTTCAAATCTTGAATAATATATACTCTTCTTTTGTTTCTGCCAGCTTTCATTTCACTTGTCTAAACAAGATTCTTTTATTTTTCTCTTTATAAAAGACCAGAACATAATTTTTTGAATAGATCTGCTTAGTTCTGAACCTTTTTTTGCAGCTGAATCAGCCAATTCATTGCCATGAATATTCATATGAGCAGGAACTCAGTGTAGATGAATTATCAGCTTTAATGTTCTTCTCTTTTGAATTTTTAAAACAGAGTTTAAGATCAGTTCAAGATTCATTTTATCATTATAAATCTGACTATTTCTAAGTCTTCTTAAAGCAGCTTGACTATCAGAGAATATTCATGTCTCTTTCAAACTATTTTCTCTTTTATAAGATTTTATTTTAATAAGTTTGAAAGCTTTTACTATTGCAAATAGTTCAGTGTCAAAGACTTCAGATTCACAGCCTAAATTCCAGAAATCTGAGATAAAATTAATATTATCTTCAGTATAAGCAATGCCTGCGCCTAATCTATTCAAATTCTCATTTTTTGAGCCATCTGAATAAATCAGAATAGAGTTTTTTATATTGATTGTAGAAATTCTCTTCAAATGCTGTTCATATTCTTTCTCTTTAGATAGTTCACTTATTTACAAGTCTATAAGAGATTCAAGCTTTTCTCTTCAGAGAGATAACTTCTCATGATCAACTTTTTCAACATTTAAAGAAGAAAATTGATTTTTAATCAGTGAGCATAGTCTGTACAGTTGAGAAGGCATTTTCTTTGAAGAATTATTTTCATTTCAATCATCTTTATAAGCTTAATATATAATTCTATCTCATCTAAGATCTTTAATACACTTTATATATACTTAATTAATGTATTCTTCCTTCTTCATGAAGTACACTATCATATTATTCAGATATATTATCACAAAGATATTCAGATATACATGAAGTATTTTATTGATAAAAGACTGAAATATTACAGAGATATTAGTCCAATCAAAAGATATTACTAGATATTTAAATAATCTCAGTACAGTTCTAAAGACAGTATTTTATTCATTCTCAGACTGTATTCACAGCTGTGTATATATATTAATCACATTCAGTTATTTGAATATGACAGCTTTCATGAGATGATTAATTACATTCTCAATTAGAGACAGAGAATAGTAACTCTTCATTATCTTAAAGTTCAGATTATAATAGTCTATACATAATCTGAGATCTTCATTCTTCTTTTTTATAAATATTACAGAGACTCTTATGAAGATCTGTGAAGATTGAATGAAGTTATTCTTCAGATTCTTCTTTATATAAGTCTGTAAAACCTCTGTCTTATAGTGAGAGAGCTTATAGATTAATTCTCAGAAGAGTTTCTACTCTTCTATTAAATCTATTATCAGATTCTTCTTATAGTGAGATGAAAGCTCAGCTGTCTTTACTGAGCTGAATATCTCTATAAGATCTCAGTATTTCTCTAATATCTGAAGCTCAGTTTTCATGACTGTGAAGTTCTCAGATATTTATAAAGTTATTATATAGATAAGCTTATCTTCTCTAATTAACTCTACAGTATTAACTAGACTGACCGTGTGACCGTGTCTGGAACCAGAATCAAAATTTACAGTTATCATGTTGCCTAAAA